CGGCAGCAGCGCTGCGTGGAACTCCGGCAGTATAAACATGGGACATCTATCGCCGGCGCAATTCAGACTCTAACTTCTCCAGCTCCTGCGTGCTTTGCCACAATTTGTGATCGATGACCTCCGTGGTGTCCATTGCCGTCTGCCACATGCGGAGCGACATCCTGCGCATAGACTCAACTTGAAAAGTCTCTGCCCCCTCAGAATCAATAAACAGCAGCTGCCTGCCATTGCGCGTGTTTTGGAACTCCTCGATGAGGTCCAGCGCCGAATCCAGATTGTGGTACACCTGCCTCATCAGGATCTCAACAGCTACCACCATCTGCAACTCTTCCTTTAGGTGTTCCATTTGCGCTTTCAATGCCTCGATCTTCCGTCGTCGAGCCCCAGCCTCGGTCATGGCGCGCAACGCAGGTGACTGTTCCATCATGGCTCCCCTAAAAAAAGGCCAGTTTGGACCAGAGCGCTGCAAAGTAAATTGCACAAAAAGCATCTCAAATTGACAAATATTGCCCCAGGTGCTCTTTTTCTTGCCTGCAAACAAGCATGCGGCAGCAAACACATCGTTTCTCAGGCTGCAGCAGCCCCTCAAGCTCAGCCCAAACACTCACTGTGTTGCCGCAGTGTGTTCGTATATGAACTCTCGAAGCACCGGCTGCAAGTCCTGTATCAGGACATGGACTGGCCAGAGTATGGCCAGAAACACACACTCTGCGTCGTGGCCAGCGGCAAGACCGCCCCACACATCCAGGGCCTCGCTCACCTGCAACATTTGGTCATGGAGAGTGCGCAGCTCGTCAAGCTTAACCTTGTTCAGCTTCCCCTTCATCGGCCGCAGCATCTCGTACTCATCAAACATCCACAAGCCGTCCTTGTAGCGGACATCAGTCACCGGTGTCTTGTGGCGGAAGAAGTGTTCAAGCACAGCGCGTGTGGCGCAGCACTTGCTGATGATCTTGGAGTTCACCCGGTTGTCTTTGTACAGAGGGCCCAGAGTCTCGCAGACCTTGATGAGCATCGAGAAAGGGATCTTGTCTGGTTGCCCGCAAGTGATTCGTTGGATGTCTTCCGCCAACTTGTATAGGCAATCCCCCCGCACAATGCCAGGTGAGCCCTCCTCCAAGTACCTGGATGCCATGGCTTCGCCAGCTTTGGTTACAAAGCTGGACATTTCAACGAGTTGAAGCCGAACCGAAGCTGAGCCAGTTGAACCGAATGGGCAGGCGGCGGGCGAAAACTCAATGAGCCGCACGCAACGCTGGCAGCAAAACAGACACGCTTTTCCTTGTGCTTTGTAAAACTCAGGAGTTGCCAAACTTCTCAGGCAAAGCAAAAACCTAAGCTGAGCCGGGCTCTCAGGGGAAAGGCTGCGTTTCCGCAGCCTTTTCTAGATGCAAGTTCAGTCAGAGTTCAAGGGTAAACAGACAAGCTTACGCAAAGTCAAATAAGCATTGTCCAACAGCATCTTTAATGGTGTAAGAGGTTCGTTAATGTCGGCCAGTTCGTTCAAGAAGTGCAGAACCTGGGTCGACTCTTCCACAAAGGCCCGCTCTTCAGCAGTGACGCGTGGAAGTTGCGTTGGTCCTGGAGAGCCTGGAGAGCACAAATCCCGCACAAGAGGCTCCCTGGCCATATCATCAGAAGGCAATGGCGAAATCAGCGCGCGCTCCATACCAGCAAGAACGACTGCGAAAGGAAACATCGCGGCTCTTCGCCCAGTTCTTTCCATGATCAACCGCAGGACCCGGCTGCATTTCCTGACAATAATCTCGTCAATCTCCATTTCAATGACATGCAGCGCCACGCAATGCGCGAGCTCGTCAGCGTCAACCCCGTAAATGTCCATGGCAGCACGTGCGCCAAGTTTCACTACCAGCTGACATAGCAAAAACAACTCTCTGAGCCACCGGATTGTCCAAACATCAAGGCCCCCCTCCCTCCCCAAGATTTTCAGCAAAAAAACCTTTCCGAAAAACGACTTGTTTTGACAAAGTATGCACACCCGAAAAAAGCAAGGTTTTCGGTCCAAAAAAAGCACCCAAAAAAAATGCCTAAAAAGCATGTCCTTAATGACCGGCCAGTTTCCACCAAGAGCCAGAATTGGGGAACCACATTCGGAATGTTCAGATGTTTCTTCGGAACTGAAGGAAGTTGCACTGATCCCGAATACGAAATTCCGACCTCGGATTGTTTGGCAACTACAGGACCATCCATGTTTTCTGAATCCAAGAAGTACATTGGAAAGAGATTGCCAACACGCACCATTGTCCAAGGACATGGCTGAGACAAGGAGATCGTCGTTCTCCACATCGAGCAGAATGATGAGTTTCGTGGCATGCTCCCGAAATCATCCAACAAGTCACTCCATGAGTATGACGACCGCCACATAACGAGGGCAGATCTTCCATTCGCTACCATTGGAGTTTTCCGCATCCATCCTTCAATCAGCCATGGAGCAGCAAGGGAAGATCTTCAAAATGAAATCGTGCCGCTCGTGACCTTGTACCGATGCGATGCGATCACCGGAGACGCCAACAAATCAGCGAACACCTACAGCAAGCTCCAGCACGTCTTCAATCCGGCCAACGGTCTCGTGAACATCCTCATGAGAGAATATCAGAGACTGTGGAATGAAACGAAAGACTTGCCACTCGTGGACAGAATGGAGTATGCAATGGAGACTTCGTGCGCCCTGAAATCCATTATCCGTCATCACCTGTACATGAAGTGTGGATCAGGATATGATCGAACATTCCCAGACGTGATGATGACTTTCGTATTTGGATGGGGCAAAACGAACATCCAGCAGGCTTTCCGGAAGGACGAGATGAACGGCATGGACGATAAACATCAAGAAGAAGCAACCCTGGACCCCGCAGGAGTACAAGCACTACAACAAGCAGTGGGGACGTCAGAAGCAGTGGAAGGACTATAGCAATTCGCCCTGGAATGATTATGGAGACTATGGCAGTCAATCCGACAGGCCGCCGATGGTATCGTCGATCCGACTGACCATGAAGATTCATACGTTCAGCACCACGAACTCAATTCAGATGATTGATCCTCGCCGTCTACAAGACTATACCATGAGTGAGAGATCAATAGTTTCACAATCGTCCCTCGTGTACATAGCGTTGTACATCACCCTTTGATACATCTAGGTGTCCCGAAAAGAAGCAGTACATAGTGTTTTCCATTTCGAAAGCCAAGACATTTCATCCGAGCAGAAAAGAGGATGAATCCGGCATTTTTAATACACATGGCTACGGCACACAGCATGGCTACGGCATACATCAAAGGCTACGGCCAAAGGCCATGAAGCCAATAGTATTTCATACTTAGTGCTGGAGATCAAAAGAAATTTGTGTCTGTTTTGTGGTTGTTTCCCAATCCAGTTGATCTCCCGCAACCATTTGGCTCAAGGCCCCTTTTGTGCATATCATTGTACCATCAATGATCGCGTGAAGCAAAAGAACCTTTGCAGGCCGCTTACAGGATTATCCACAAGACAATCCACCAGGGACAATCCATCCTCCAATCATCCACATTGGCATATTGGACTCTCTCCGGAATAGATCCAGGGACCAACAACGACCTCTACAACCACAGGCCCTTCCCCCCCCCATTCCCCCCGTTAAAAAAATGAAGAAGATACAATTTGGTCTCTGGGGCAGGCTGGTTGCATAGTTTTTTCTATTTTATCTTTTTTTACTTAACATTTTTGGGGAATTTTGGTTCATTATTTTGCTCGTCTGTGTTGTCTTTGTTCATTTTTCCCACCGTCTCTAGATTTTATCTCACGTCGCCTTCCTCCAACTTCCCCCGCTTCCTCATCCTCCTCTTCCTCATTCCTCCTCCTGCTCATCCCCTTCCTCTTTTTCCTCCGTGTCTCCTTCCGTGCGTCATGTGCTCCCGTTCCTCCTTTACTTCCTACACCGGTGCTGGCTGCGGAGTGTGCTGTGCTGGCGGGGCTGGCTGCGGAGTGTTACACTGGACTTTTCGCGGGGCGAAGGGCCTACTTAATCTATCTATCTATCCAGCTAGCCAGCTGTCTATCTATCTGTCCATTTGTCCGTCTATCTATCTATCTATTTGTTTACCTTCTATGTATCTGTCTCTCTATCTATCGATCGAGCCACACATCTATCTATTTGCCTGACGATCTAATTTTCTACATATCTATCTGTCTTATTTCTTTCTGTCTATTCATCCATCAACAGCATCAGCTTAATGTAATAGGAACAAATGACTGATGAAATTGAGCCATGTGCTAAGTGTAAAATGAAAATAGGACGCTTGATAGTTTTGAAGAAGGAGGAAAGACCTGTAACAATTGTTTAGAAGCCGAAGATGGAGACAAACGCATAGTGATAAGATATCTCAATACAATAAAGTACAACCAAGAACATAAAACTGAACTGGTAATCAAATCAAAAGAAAAGCGGGAAGACACATATGTAGATTGTTTTATCTTGCAGCGATATAATAAAGAAATATGATGTAGGTAGACACGTTAAACGTTTTAAAACATATTTCAATTATGAACAGAATGCATAATCAAATTGGCCAGAGCAATAATTTTCTATCATATCATTAGTTGGTTGATAATATGATGGACAAAACCACAATCCTGACAACTCTATTTTGAAGAGTTCGTCATCTGTTGTAATACTGCTTTTGGGGTGAAACATCTTGAAATGAAAAAGGTTATGAATTACTCTTGACCCTGTGTACTCTCAAATTCTGGAGTTTTAAAAATCGAATTAGGTAAATTAACTTACCCCACCGAGAAAAAACAACTAATGAATAAGGTTGCCATTAGGTGCTGAAAAACTTTAAATTTGAATAAAAACAACACAGCCGAGCAAGACATGAACAATTAATAATACGAATAACCCGAATAATTCCCTACAAATGAAAACATGGGAAACAAACAAAGCAACCAGCCTGCCCCAGAGGCCAATTTCCACCCCGAGACCCCGAGACCTCCCCAGACCCCGTAGGCGCTGTCACTTCAGCGTCCGCTGGCGAGCTGCACCCAGCTGCACAGGGTCATTCTGGGCGGGGCCTTGCTGGAGGCATACCAAGGCGGGGTTGGGAGCGGACTCGACTCGACTGGACCAGACCGATCCCGTTGAGGGGTTTTGGGGCCATGGTGGTTTGCTTAAAGGGGCGATCGGGGGGTAGTAGCATGGTTAGAGCCCACAAAGGCCGTGGTTGTAAGTCTCCGTTCAGTGGGTTATAACCAGGCTTTCTATCCACTCACCAACTACCATGCCCCTTTAAGTTGGCCTTTGAACCCAAGAATACTTGGCCTCAAAATTGAAGCCACTACTGGAAAAGGTTTCCGCCTGAAACCCGGAACATGTTCATGTAAGAAAATTCGGCCAGGGCGCACATGTGCCGTGATCAAGCCACTTGACTTGATGTAAGGGACGATCATGCATCTTTGACCTGGGGCGAGGATTCTTTTGGAAAGGAGAAAGGAGAGACAGGTAAGGCTTCAGGAAGGTTTGCAGAACCCTAAGAACCCCTTCAATCCAAAGGTTCTACGACCATTTGTTGAGGGCATGAGACAGCCTTTGGTCGCCAACTGCCCTTTTTGAACCAGCCGGGGGTCCCCAGTTTTTTGTGTGCCTTTTTCTGAGGGAACCCCTTGTGGATTGCTTTTAAAGGGAAGCCAAAGGGAAACCACGATTTTGGGGTCATTCTATTTTGTCATATGCCCAACTAGAGGTCCCTGGTTTGTGCAACTTTCTCCTGAAGGCACCTGACGTTTGTCATGGTAGGAAGATCACCCCTTGAAGATGAACCGAGTGTCTTGAAATAGAGGACCCCCACAAAAACCGTTTCCCTTGCTTGCCTTTCAACTATCCCATGTTTGGGGGACCCGTAGGCACGCTGGCCATCGCTGACGACCTGGATGTGAACCTCGTGCATGCCCGGAGCGGAATGTTGCTTGGCCGAAGGCTTGAGCATCAGCGAAATGGCGCGAGGGGTTGCTTACAGGGGCATTGTTGAGTGGTTAGCAAGCCTAGTTACAACCCACTGAACGAAGACTTATAGCCATGGCTTTTGTTGTTATAGCCAGGCTTGCTAGCCACTGACCAAGTAACATGACCCGTTCAGTGGTGCGATGTTTTCAGGATGGAACACTGTCGGGAGCTGGGAATCCATAGCATCCCAGTTAGACCAGACCTTGCCCATCTTTTTTATAGAAAAAATCCCAGACCCCCCCCCCACACTTTTAGCAACATTTTAAAACAGCGCCTCAATCAACATTGTAAAGCAGGTAATTTCCTAGTAAGTTCATCCATTTTTTTTAAATAATACAAAATTTTCAAAACATATTATTCCAAAAAAATATGATAAATTATTTTACAATAAATTTTATCACAAATCTTGTAGACATATTATGGGCAAGGTCTGGTTCATTCGTTTTCGAGGGGACAATATTTTTTTTAAGTCTTTCTATTATTTTATCACATGTTGTTTCATTATACATATTACTTCCTATTTTTGTTCTAAACAACCCCATTGTTCTAATTGCATGTGTTATTGTATATCTAAGTTCGTCAATTCTATACTCATCATTTAAAAACTCATTTAAACAATTAAACAACACAACATATTTTGAACGTTTAATATTAAAAGACATATTGTATATTTTTTTACCATACTATAATACTTAAAAATAAAATCATTATTATATCCTTCGTCGTCACATTCTAATAAATTATCAAACCCTTCTATAGTTAATAAATTATTCATTTCAATAAACACAAATATTTCTAAATCATCATCAAGAGTTTCATTATGTCTAATATCAATATCTTTGTTATTCATATCATCAATCTTTTTTATAATTCTATTGCAATTATTGCATATCATGTATTGACAAATATTATTACAAACGCCATTTGTAAAACCCCGTTTAATTGGAAATTTAAGAATCTCACAGTCTTCGCATTTATAACTCATAAACTTTTCAATAAATTTTAAGCATCAATGTCATCGCGGACTGTATCACTCATCACACTATATAATAGTATTATAAAATATTTCTTTGAATACGTTTTACAAGATTTTTTTTATAATAACATTTCTAAATATTTTTTTAGTTTTTTACAGTAAACTTTCTATATATGTTTAACAAAACAATAAATTAAACTCATTTTTAAATTCATTATCATCATTTACAACTACAATTACATAATTTACAAAATGGGATGATATTTTCTATTGTATGAGTTAATTCATTATCTTTTCGTTGTGCTGTTAGATTAGTCATTATATTACCATTTTTCATATCAATAGTAAAACCGCAACCGCAGTAATTACATTGATTATTTATATTATCTAAAAACCATTGAGTATGTACATAACCTTCTCTAGGTATGCTTCTTTTTGCTTTCCTGTCTTGTTCCTTGTAATTCAATATGTTCCTTTCAAATAACTCATAATACATTTTTGATTAAATACATCATCAACATCTTTTGTATATTTATAAAATTTGACTTTGTTTAAATCAAGAGCACGTGTTACCGCTGTGAAAATCCATTCTGGATAATTCTTTACCAAAAAATGATTATAATCAAAAATTGTTATGGTGAGCAAAATGACAGAATGCTACTACCTTGAGCAGAATGACATGTAGAGCAAGACGCAAATATAAAATTGCTTTTTATTTTAGCAACTTCTACGGATTGTAAAATTTCGGTTTTGACATTTTTTAATGTAAATATTCCATCACTTCCAATATGAACTATTTTATATATGAAATTTACATTAAAAACTGATGTTTTAGTTTTAGTATATTCTCTACAAATTAAAAATTATCCTACTTCATATTCATCTTTTCTATTTTCTAATTTTCTAATTTCATTTGATACATTTTTACAAGTTGTATTCAAAAATGCTACGTTGTTTTTGGAACTACTTATGTCTGTGGTGTATTCAAAATATTGTTCAATAATAGTTTTAATTGGTAATGTATTAATAAAAATATCAATTTTAGTATTTCTTAGTTTATCTTTATCTTCCTGTGTGTTAAGTCGCTTACATTCTTTTAACAAAATATTATATTCAAAAATGTTATCTATACTAATATCAGTGTATAACTCATAGTCTCGAGTATTTGTTATCTCTTGAACTGGTTTTAATTGCTTGGTGTCTCCTGTTGCTATTATAATTTTGTTGTGCTTATTTTGCTCTACAAATTGTTTTATTCTCCAGTATGTATTCAAATTACTAAAATAGATTTCATCAAATACTATCACATCAAAATCTGTAAAATCAAATGGTTCTAATTTTGCATCGCCGTAGTTTATTCCAAAAAACTTGTTTATAGTCATTGATTCACCTTCAAATGCCTGTAATAATTTATTAGTAGGACAAATAAAACAATAATAAAAATTACCTTAATTTTTTATCAACCATTTTTTGACATATATATGATTTTCCTGTGCCCGGTAGTTCGCCTTTAATCATAATAGGGTTATTCTGTTTAACAATCTCTATAATGTTGTCAGTGTCATACTCATCTACAATATCAATAGTTTTACTTTCATAAACTGGTATTTTTATTAGTTCATTATTTACAACGTTAAATTTTACTGTAGGTAAATTAATTTCATCTCTCTGCTTTGAAACTTTCCAACCACCTATATCATCATGAAATTCTAATAATTGCTTTGTTTTTTCTTCATTGCATGTATCAATTACAAAAGCATCTGTTTTTACACTATATACATTAATATTATTACTTATTAGTGTCTTAAAGTCTTGGTTCATTTTAAAAATTGTGATGTTGTAAAAGTAGTTCTTTAATATATCTATATCCGTTTCTTAATACTGCCTTATCCTTCAAATTCAATATATAATATGATGCCTTTACATCCCATTCATCCTCATCAAATCCATAATATGTTGTAGTTGCACCTCCTTCGTCGTCATATTCGGTCACCGTTTCGGGATATTCGCTTACAATATGCGATAACTTATTAATTTTACCTCCGTATTCTGTTTGATAATGGACTGCTTCATCAATACTTTTAAATAAAATACTTTGATGTGCTGTAGCACCTCCCTTTTCTAATAATCCAAAATTTACATTTGCTATTAACTTTTTAATTAGTTTATCTAATGCTTCGTCATGTTCATCTATATTTGTTTGTAAAAGTTCATTAATAATATTTGTATATTCAACCTTATGAATAAATGAAGGTTGTTTATAATATAAAATATTGATTTTGTGTGTCTTATTCTCATTGATGAATTCCTTCAAAAACTTGCCATATACTAGATTATATTTTTTGTTGAAAAATAAGTTGTGATTACCACTTATTACAATGTTTTTAATTGCTTGTTTTAATTCATCAGGATTTAAAAACAAACTTAAATCATGTGTTTTACGAAATTCTATATAAGTAGCAACGTCAATACCTTTACTATATGCAATAGAATATATCATCTGCTTGGTGCGTTGGTTTTTCTCTATTAGTTCCTTAATGCTGTCCATTGTTGTTTTTAATGGTCTTACATTTGTATCTATAGTTTCAACATAATATAAAGTTAATTCATGGAGTTCATCTATTTTAATTTCATCGTTGTATTTTTTCCAATGGTCAAACTGGTTAAATACTGGTATTTCCCTAATATTTAAAAAACCTTTAGTAAATGCTTTATTTACATCTATTTCTGTTTTATAAACTAAATTAATATTACTCAATAATAACCCCGAAGGTGCTATACTTCTTGTTTCATTTAATATTTTAATATCAATGTCGTTATAAAAGGATTTATGTGATGACATGAATAAGGATTTATTGAAATTAAACATTGCTTTGTTCATATTGTTGTATGTAGTTTCATTGCTAACTGCAATCCATCCATCACCGGAAGATTTAATTAAATTTTGAGTTTTTATGATATATGTTATCTTGTTCAATCTTAATCTTATTTCATCAATAATACATGTGTATTTAATTCTGGGTTCATATCCAATATTCAACAACTGGAATAATAATTCTGCCAAATTATTATTTTCAGGCACTAAATATATTTCCTTTGTTTTATCATCAGTTTAAATTTTAAGTATATCATCTATACATTTAATCATTTTGTATTGCGGCGGTTCTTCTCTTTCATTTATATAATAATCAGTGTGTGCCTTTATAGTGGGTAGTTTTGTTATTAATTGCTTCTGTTGTATCTTACTTAAATCGTAGTTTAATGTGTAAATATGGTTATTCTTCACCATTGCGTAAAAGGTTTTTATATCGTGGTTTCTTTTTTCTGGTTCATATTTATAAATAACTGCATTTACAAAATTGAAAATTCTAACTTGAATATTAAACTTTTTGAATACTGCTTCCATTTCCTTAATTGTCGCGCCAGTTTCACTGAAGTTTTCCCTACCTATGAGTTCAATAATTTTGTCTCTGGTTAGTCTGTTGCTGGTTTTTTCATTCATGATTGTATCGCTGTAAAAATCAGTTAATGAATTTATCCAACATTCATTCTCTATATAATTACCTTTCTTGATTGCCTTTTGTATAGTGCCCTCACTCATTTTAATAGGTGTGTGTATATATTTATGATAAATTGATACGTTTGTAGCATCCCTTAAGTTTTCGGTTAGTATATTAAACTTTTCGCCGTTTTTATTCATCTCTTCTACTGATAATATATTGATACATTCAATATCAGCATAAAATTCTGTCATTTCTCTATATACTTCATTAAAATATTCATCTGTTGTTAATAGATTTCGTGTGTCATAAAATTCGTCATTTGGTGTATCAGTATTGCTTCCATATTGTATATCTGAGTTGCTTAAGTATTTAAATATCTTTTTCTTATAATATCTGTTGAAAATGTTCGTGCTTGAATTGTAACATTAAAATTATCATAAGTTTTTGTGTAAAATATCATTAGTCTGTGTTTAAAAGCG